TTCCGAGACTCGGTGCGACGGATCGTGACAGACATCCCATTGCTTCGACATCGACTCGAAGGTCCAAGTGTTCGAGACGACGATCCGAGTGTTAGGCGGACTATTGAGCGGCCATCTGTTTGCGAAAGATCCCGAGAACGTCTGGGGATGTCGTCTCGACAATAACGACGATGATGATCAGCAGCAGCACCAGCAGGAGAGATCATATGCAGACCAGTTGCTCTTCTTGGCTAAGGATCTTGCCGATCGATTGATGCCCGCTTTTCATGCCTCTTCAACTGGCATTCCTTATGCTCGCGTTAGTCCTCCCCCCTCCCTCTCTTTTTTTTTTTCTTTCTTGAAATTGAAATCACTCTTGAACTCATCATATCATCTCTTTTTTTGTTTTGTAGATTAATTTGAGATACGGCCTCATGCCGGATGAAGGCACCGAAACGTGCACCGCTGGCGCAGGCTCATTATTGCTAGAGTTTGCCACACTCAGCAGATTGCTTGGCGATCCGATCTACGAGGTTCGTCCACTCTGGTTCATCAAAATAGGCAGCCACACCTCACTTAATCTTCATTCTGTTTCAGAATGTGGCCAAGAAGGCGTTTTATGCTCTCTGGGATCGCCGGTCTTCTATCAACTTACTCGGGAATACGATCGACATCCAAACTGGTGTGGGCTCAAATCTTGAATCCTCCTCCTCCTCCACATCTATTCTCCTCTATAAGGAAAAAAAAACTCGACTGTTTCTTGATCATGATCGATCATTTACTCACTTGAGAAACCCTCCCCCTTTTTTTCCTGATTTGTGACTGTATGTAGCATTGGTCGTATGGAGTCTCAAGCATCGGCGCTGGGATCGACTCGTTTTATGAATATATCCTCAAGTCTCATGTCCTATTATCCGATGACTCGTTCCTAGAAATCTGGAATCAGGCCTATAAAGCAGTGATGACTTACATGCGATCACCTGATGGATTCTGGGTATGTATCATCCCTTTTTTTTTAGTGAAATTGGTGATTTTTTCTTCTTCTATAAGATATATAGATATAACATACATATCTGATTTCAATTTTTATGTTCAAGTGTTGAGATCTCCCTGTTTCCCTTTGTTTTGATTTTTAGTATCGAGGAGTGAATATGCAAACCGGAGCAGTGGCCACAACTACCATCGATTCATTATCCGCTTTCTGGCCTGGCCTTCAAGTCCTAGCTGGAGATATTGAAGCGGCCATTCAATCACATATGACGTATGCTAATCTTTGGGCCAGGTGCGCAGAATCCCACCCCACCACATTTGACCATTCTTCTGAACTATTGAAATCTGGTAGTTTCAATCCTTACAAGCTTTGATTACCTCCCTCCTCCTTTTTTTATTTTACTTGGAGTAATCATCTGATATAGATATTCAGGAATCCCAGAAGTCTTTGATATCCACAGAAAACAAGCTACCTCATTGGGATATCCTCTCCGGCCTGAATTCGTTGAAAGCAATTACTTTTTGTATCGGGCGACTAAGGATGAGTATTATTTGGAAGTGGCTGAACGAGTGATCACTGATCTCGTTAATCGGACTTGGGTCGATTGCGGCCTGGCATCGATCGAGAATCTCTTGACTGGTCTGTCTCTCTATCTCTCTCTACTGACGATATGAAGTTTGTTGAATTGAGCCCCTTTTCCTTTTTTATATACAGGGAAACTCGAAGACCGGCAGCATTCATTCATGTTGTCCGAAACACTCAAATATCTATGTATGTCCTCAAAAGCTTTAATGAAAGATCACACTTAGCTCGGTGAATCTGAGAGTGTTTGTTCCGTGATTGAATGGGGAGACAGACCTCACGTTCGACGAAGACAATCCTATCAACCATGCAGATCAGCCCTTTGTATTTACCACCGAAGGACACATTCTGTACATTCCAAATGTGGATCAGATGGCCGAAAACCAGGGATATAGGACGGGCTGGGAAGAACGAGAATCGTTGGAGAGTGATCAGGTGGTCTGGGAAAGCCACCCAACCGGCCGGCGGCAACAATCCAAGCCCCCGACCTGTTCAGTCTACTCTCCATCTCTCCAGAGTCCTAAGCATTCCAATCCATTGATGCTCTCGATCACCGGTCGGACCGACTTCGATTACGCGAAGATGATCACTGGAAGTCTGGACTCGTCTGTCCACCCTAATCACTCTAATTATTCTCTCGACGATCAGTGGGCCTCGTTTGGCTTCTGTGAGGTCCCAGTCGCTGATGTAAGAACTCTTAGTGATCTCTTGTCTCTCTTGAAATCTTCCCCTCCCTCCCATCTCAACCTTAATCTCAATCTTTCTTAGATTATACTCTCGTTTCCCGAACTTGCATTTCTTCTCTTTTCGCCCTCAGTATGTGCTCTTCTTGGCTCGAGATCGTCCTTTTCATTGTATCCCCCCCCCTCTTTACCCTTTAATCTACTCGTTCTTTTTTCTTTATCTCTGATCGCTGTGGGCTTTCTTGGTCATCAAAGCTGCCGATTATCCGAGCACATATGAAATACCAATAAAATAAAAATCACCCTCTCTCACTACTCATACCGTGTATCCAAACACCATAAATCACTTCCATTTTTTCTCACTCCCTCTGTCTTTCATTTGATTTGAATAACGTCATACAATGGTTTTTTTTTGACTTTTTTTTCTTTCGTTTCGATTCAAGGATGATTTGATTGAATTAATCTTCAGTCATTCGGCGGATGAGATCGAGAGAAGTCCCGGTGCGGATAAAGTGGAATTTTTCGGAGCCTCTTTATCCCCCTCCTCCTCCTCAAGATCATCAACATCATCATCAAGATCATCCTCGAGTGGAGCACCAGCACCGCTGGATAGCCGATCTTCTCCCGATATGCCATCCGAATCCGACGCTTTCGTCTTGGTCAAGAACCTTACCGGCTTGACGTTTTCCTTGAAGAAGCGCTTCGATCAAGATAGTTACGAGATCGTCAAAGGTAAGCGCTTGTTTTAGTAATCCAATCTGTTACCTGTTTCAGACATGGACACCCATCGAATTTCACTGACGGACTGTTCTGTATTCAGTTGGATCGTACCAGTTGGCGCCCAAGACTCAAGTGGTTCTCTCGGATCCTTATGCGGTCAAGGTGTTGAAACCGCAGAGCGAGAGCGAGAAACTCTCGCAACGAGACCGGGATCATTTGACAGGGATCCGGGTATACTACGAGGATTCCACCGGCTCGCCAAGTAATCGAGATTCTTCTTTGGAGGAGGAGGAGGAGGGAGAGTTGGACTCGATTTCGCGGCCGGTGATGCTAGCGACGTTTGGGCCAGATGTCCGGATCCCCGGGTCGACGGGGCTGAGTATTGGGAATGGAGCCTTAGAGGTCGTCGGCTTGAATCCGCCGAACGAGTACGGCTGCGAGCCGATCACTCAAGAGCCGGTTGTTGTTCACAAGAAGGAGCGCCCGGAGGACGTCGATGGCAAGGTCGTCCTCGTCAAACGCGGCCAATGCACGTTTGCCGATAAGGTCCAGAACGCGCTCTTGGCGGGCGCTAAGGCGCTCATCGTCGCTAATCAGGACGATACTCTCTTGATCCCGACCTCCGATCGGATCCAAACTAGGGACCCAATGGAGGACTTGTCGTCCGCTTCTTCTTCCTCCGACTCCGACTCGTCAACTGATCATCAAGAAAATGCAGAATCTAATCACAGATCGAGCGTGGTGGCGGATGGCGACAACAAGGACTTATCATTAAACCTCAATCTTCAATCGATCCCGCTCTTGTTCTGCACCCTCGAAACCGGAAGATCGATCGGCCATCTCTTGGCTAATCGTCATCATAACCCCCCGCTTTCTCGTCCCTCTCCTCCTCCTCCTTCGCCCCATCATCCGCCAAGAAAACTCATGCTCGAAATCGTACAGGACCCGCTCGACTTGCTCGATCATCACCATCGATCTTCGCATAATCTGCACCCGCAATTCGTCGTCATTAATGGATATAAACTCGCTAATTTACACTTGAAATCCGTTTAGCACTTCTTTTTTTTCTCTTCGCATCCTCCTCCCTTGTTTGGCTTTCCTGATGTTAAGCTTTCTTTCTTTCTTTTCTGTTCTCTCTGTTCTTATGCGCTTTCTCTTTTATGTTTTTTGTTGTTTTTTTGTTGGGATGGATGGGAGGGAGGGAGCTCAAAAAAAAAAAAAAAAAACTCTAGAAAAAAACAAACACACACAGAGAGAAATCGAGATGTTTATATACATATATGTGTGTATATCTTGCTACTTAAATATATATACATCCCGTTTCCTGGCTCACTTCTTGCCCCCCGTCCCTTACGTATCTTATTTCCGCTTCATTTGTAGTCTGCATGACCTCTCTCCATATACATATATGTATACATCCTGATGATCTTCTTTTTCTTTTTCTTTTGAATACGGTTCTGAAAAAAGCTTCTCTTTTTGATGCCATATGAAAGGCGAGATTGATGGTGGTACATAAGTATGTAAGAGACAAAGGTGGGCTATGTAGGTACAGTGGGTAGACTGTTATTTTTGGCTGCTTGTTTTGGATTCCAGAGCTTCAAAGCACAAACTTGAAGTCACAAGAATTGGTGAAGTGGTGCACAATGGAGGACTTCCCGTCGGTCTGGGATCCTAGATTTAGCCTTCCTAAAGCCAGATTCCAAATCTTGTTTGCTGATGAGAAGTCAATGTCACTTGATTCTCTTCACCAAATTGAGTTTGGGATCTAGGATTAGACCTTCCAAATCAAGGGTTCCAGATTGACGGGAAGTCCTCCAATAGTTCCCAAAGAATGAATATGAAAAAATAAAACCAAAAAACAAAGTTTCAAAATTTGTGATTAAAAAAAAGGGCCTTAATAAAAAAACCCGCATTTTCCGCGTTTTGACGCGCTTTTGCTGCGGCACAGCACACGCGCATTCTGCTTTTAAACCCGCATTTTTAATTAATTTTTTTTTGGCATTAATTTCAAGTTTTTTTGATTTTTTAAAATTTTTTCCTACACTTTGAATGGTGTAGAATTTAATGGTAAAGTCTATTTACCATAAAATGACTTTTTTTTTTTTTTTCTGCTTACTCATTTTTTCAATTAATTGTTTGCATGCATGTATGTACCTTATTTTTTATGCTTTTTTGAAATTTTAAAATTATTTCCTAGGTTTCAATGTGTGTAGAATTTAATGGTGCAATCCAATTTTTTTAAAACTCAACGGTTCATTTTTAATACTGAAATTAGACCCATTTTTTCACTTAATTTTTTACAGCTTAATTCTCATCATTTTTTGACATTATAAATTTATTTCCCACACTTTAAGACATGTAGAAAATGATGGTAAAAACCATTTTTCCCCAAAATGAAAACTATACCTTGAATGCCGCATTTGACACGTTTTTTTTAATTAATTCATCACTTTTTCACTTAATTGTTTGCATACATGTGTGTACCTTATTTTCTATGCTTTTTTGAAATTTTAAAGTTGTTTCCTACATTTAAAAGTGTGTAAAATTTAATGGTAAAACTCAATTCCCATAAAACTCAACGGTTCATTCTGGACACTGTAATTAGTCATATTTTTCAATTGATTTTTAAGAGCTTAATTTTCATTATTTTTTGACATTTTAAATTTGTTTCCTACACTTTCAAACATGTATAAAATTATGGTAACAATCATTTTACATAAAAATCAGCGCTTGTTACTGAATACTGCAGTGGACAGGCTTTCTTGTAATGATTCTTAGACTGACTTTTACCTGCCTGATTTTAAGCATTTTGTTTATTTTTAAATATATTTCCTACATTTAGAAATGTTGAGAACTGAATGGTGGAGTTCAATTTCACTCAAAATACAAGCTTCAATCTTAATAGATGAGCGTACCCTGTTTCTTGCATAATTTGTACCATATACAAATTTTATTTGAATGCAAAATGGATACAGCCATCAATTTTGAAACCTTGAAAAGTGTAGGAAATGAGCTTGAAATTTCAAAAAATAAGGATAATTGAGCGTGTAAGAATTAATTCAGGAAACACGTCAAAGGCATTATTCAAGATATAGTTTTCATTTTGACAAAAATTCATTGTTACCATAATTTTATACATGTTTGAAAGTGTAGGAAACAAATTTAAAATGTCAAAAAATAATGAAAATTAAGCTCTTAAAAATCAATTGAAAAATATGACTATTTACAGTATCCAGAATGAACCGTTGAGTTTTATGGGAATTGAGTTTTACCATTAAATTTTAGACACTTTTAAATGTAGGAAACAACTTTAAAATTTCAAAAAAGCATAGAAAATAAGGTACACACATGTATGCAAACAATTAAGTGAAAAAGTGATGAATTAATTAAAAAAAACGTGTCAAATGCGGCATTCAAGGTATAGTTTTCATTTTGGGGAAAAATGGGTTCTACCATCAGTTTCTACATGTCTTAAAGTGTGGGAAATAAATTTAAAATGTCAAAAAATGATGAGAATTAAGCTGTAAAAAATTAAGTGAAAAAATGGGTCGAATTTCAGTATTAAAAATGAACCGTTGAGTTTTAAAAAAATTGGATTGCACCATTAAATTCTGCACACATTGAAACCTAGGAAATAATTTTAAAATTTCAAAAAAGCATAAATAATAAGGTACATACATGCATGCAAACAATTAGTTGAAAAAATGAGTAAGCAGAAAAAAAAAAATCAAAGTCATTTTTATGGTAAATGGACTTTACCATTAAATTCTACACCTTCAAAGTGTAGGAAAAAATTTTAAAAAATCAAAAAAACTTGAAATTAATGGCAAAAAAAAATTAATTAAAAATGCGGGTTTAAAAGCGGAATGCGCGTGTGCTGTGCCGCAGCAAAAGCGCGTCAAAACGCGGAAAATGCGGGTTTTTTTATTAAGGCCCTAAAAACAAAATAAAATTTATTTTTCTCAAAAGCTTTGATATTCCTTTTGGGGGAGTGGGAGTGATGAGAGAAAGAAAGAGGGGAACATGGTAAGAATGATTATAAATGAAAAAATTGGAACCAAAAAAGGTTTGGCCAGGTTGGTTGTCCAGATTGGAGCCAAAACAGTAAATACTAGTGCTTTACTGCATTGTGGACTGGTAAATGCCCCAATCAACAGCTCTTTGAAGCCATCTGGAAAGCAATTTTTCCAAAATTTTCATTCATAATCATTCTTCTCATATCCCAATCTTCCTTTCTCTCAGCACTCTGACTCCCCCAAAATGAATTTCAAAGCTTTTGAGAAAAACAAATTTTATTTTTTATTTTTCACAAATTTTGAAACTTTGTTTTTTTGTTTTTATTTTTTCATATTTATTTTTTGGGACCTATTCTGCACCAATTGACCAAGTCTCATGACTTCAATCTGGTGCTTTGAAGCTCTGGGATCCAAAACAAGCAGCCAAAAATAACGGTCCACCCACCGTACACTACAACCGTAGTGTCAGTGTGGTGGAGTTCCGCGCTAAATTTAGCGTAGCATAGCAGAATTCCGTCACATCTGCACTAACACTACGCAAATAGGCCCCAAAAAAGGGCCGACTACGCTACACTAACACGCTGGTTAGTGGTCTTTTGGCCCTAGTGTAGCGCAGCATAGCGTAGCAATTATCCGCTAAAAAAATGCTAACACTACAATATTTTGGCGCAAAAAAAGCGCTGCTACGCTATGCTTTTTGTCTCTACAAGCGCTGTAGCTCAGCGTAGTGGGACTAATAGCGCGCTAACACTGCAGTCTTGGCACACTGTTTGGAGGGCCACTGCACTAAGCTAATGTCAGTGGGTTGTTTAGCTTAGCCCCCCATCACTGAAATAAATGCCTGATATATACAAAGAGCTGTCCATGACACAAACTACAACTGCAAGGTTTTGGGATCTGTTGGGATGGTTGTGAATGATTTGTCACATTTTTTTGACAACGACTACAATTGATGTGGGATACATAATTTTGGGTACAATGTTAACTTGAGTGTGCTTTGTGCAGTAAATCAGCATACTTTTTGGAGATTTTTTCAATTGAATAGCTAAAGAATTTGGTAATTGCTCCTTTCACAAAACATGAGAGATGTTTTCCATCTTTTTCTTTGTAATTTGCCCACAGATCTTTATAGTATATCCTGATCCAAAGCTCCAGATACACCCAAACAGCTCTTGATATGTATGATTCACCATTTTGAATGGCATATGAAACAGCTTTTCTAGTCTCTTCCCATGCATCAGCCTCTATCCCATTTATAGACTTGGTCTCATGTTTTTCTAAATCTGTAAATAGTTTGGCAGCTTTTGCTAGTTCTTCTGCATAAACCAGTCTGCTTTTTTCAAAAGATCTTGCTTCATCTTGAGGTATGATTGTAAGTATCAAATCAACATAAAACAAATAAATTGGAAATATGTTCTGAGTGGCACCAATTTTGAGATTTTCCAGATAGTAGCTTTTGAAATCAATGTGGGTCTGTTCTTTCCAATAGGTGTACCATGTATTTTGAAACCTGTAGAATTGGGAGTGCTTCTGCTTTGAAAAATCTAAATTTCTGTGTGATGATTTTGGGAGGATCACTTTTCTTGATTTATTCTTCAGGGACAAACGGTTCATCATTTGAAGATTTTTGTGTAAGTTATCTTTTGGTATGACTAGTTTAGAGCTGCCAAGACTGCTGATTAATTCTAAAATCTCAACCACATCTAACCTCCTTTCTGTCCTCAAATCTTCACAGAAAACATCACTAGTAAAGCTCAATCTGGGGAGTGTGGATTGGGGGTATCTCTTGAGATGATCAACAAAAATCTGATTTTGATTGGATTCTCCAGAAGTGACTCCCACTGATGGATGATTGGAGCAAGAAAGCAAGAAGTTGATCTTCTCAGTTTCCTCTCTTTGGTTGATCCTATTTTTACAACCATCTGAGTATTCTACTTTTGGGCTTGAATCAAATTTTCTTTGCCATTGTGCAAAGCCTTGCTTAGAAAAATCACAGTTTGAAAGATTCACTGCTGGTCCAGAATGCTCATTTGATTCCCCCTCTTGATAAAATCTATGCTTTTTCTGGGGAGGAGGGGGCTGGAGAGAAAATCCTGTTGTCAATGGATTAAAATTTTTTCTTTTCTGAGAATTGCTTGTGTTGACCAAATGTTGATCCTGATCAATCACATCCTTTTTAGTGTACTCTTTCATCACTTGTTCAGGTATGTGATTCCACCGCTCAGAATTTGATCCATGAGGGAAATAATATTCCACAGGATTTGTAATGAGCCCTCCTGAGGTTTCATAGGAATTTGATATACCTCCATGGGCATTGGATGGAGGTTCCATTTCTTTCCCCTGCATGATTTTGTGAAATTCATCAGCTTCCTGGGATTCAGTAATTTGATTCCTTGCATTTATGGACGGATTGGGATGGTGCAAATTTCCCAAAACATTTGCTGTAAACATGTCATATTCAGAAGTAGCCACTGGTGTGTGCATGAAATTTGGATTCCCTCCTTGACCAAACAAGCTTGCTGTAGGCTGGACCCTATAATTTGCCAAATCTTGAAATGTTTCTCCCATCTGGTCAAAATTATTTTGTATCAACTGACCATTTGAAATTGGGTTTGCAAAGGCTTGAGGGATATCATTAAGGGAAATATTGTTGATTGGGAAAGCTCTATCATCCCTCATTTCAACACTTTTGTTTCCAAGCTCTTTCCAATCAGACATTGGTAATGTAGAATAGCTAGGAAATTGCTCTGAATAGCCTACACCTGTTTGGGAAGGAGGAAATAAGAAGTTTTCTGAGTTTTGAAAGGATTCTGGATGTACTAATTTTTCAGAGTTTTGAAGGGCTTCTGGATGTACTGTTTCTGAGGTTGAGTATCTTGGTAGGAATTGTGCCACTTGCTTCCCCTGACTAAATAGCTGTTCAACATTTCTAGGGCAACTAGAGTCAAAATTATCAGACTCCACATGCTGTCCATGAGAATTAGATGCAAATTGGTTGTGATTTGTACTCGAAGTGATGATGTTTTGAAAACTTTCCCAAGCCTCTGGATTGTCAATTGGATTATAACTGGTAATCTGTCCCATTTGTGAGCCACCATCAAAGGTTTGGATTCCTTGATGTACAAGTGGATAGCCCATCTGAGATTCAATCACCGATATCCCAGGACCTTGCTGAAGTTCTGTCCAGAGCTCATGAATTTGTTGGATGTCTGCTGGATTTACCTCTTGGATGTCCGGGTGAGATGAAGGTGGGGCGATGTTATTCTTGTTTAAGTTAATCTCGTTATTGGTTAGATGAAGCCACCACTCCGAGTTACCAGATGTTCTGGGGAATTCAGTAATTGCACTGACTGTGAGAATAAGGGCTAAGCAACAGCCAAGCAGAATGAAGTCTCCACGGGAATCCATTCTCGATGAGCTATAGGTTGACCTCTCCCAGATTGCCGACTTCTAGCCTCCACCGACCTATTCGTGCTTATCTGCCTTCTTGTTGGAGTGATAAAGAAATATCGCGGTTTACCAGGATCACCTGATGGACTGAATCACGGCGAAAGCTGAGAATCGTGAAGGACTTGGAGAAAGAGTGTTACTCTGGGATGTGGAGGTCTTGATGCCAGGGAAGTTTGCCCCGAAGTTAACTAAGTCCCCCTATGGGAGGGGAGCGCCGTTCCGCAGGAACCCTTCCCTCCGGCCAGCCATCGGATGAAACTGCCGGAGGGAATTGGTTAAGTTAGAGTTTGCCCAATGATTCAGGAGGAAAGCTTATTTTAGGCCTTTAAAGAGAGGAACGCCGAAACGCTTCAAGATCCTAGTCCGTGGATCTATGAAACAGGCCTCTCGCTGAGCAGGTCGCAGTCGTAACTTTCGTCTCTTGCTTTATCCGAGAACGATCGTGAAAGCCGACAATCAACGTTCAACGGAGCATAGAGGACGGGGCTTGTCTGCCGGGCCGAGCTCAAGGTTGATCGTGTTAGTTGAGGTGGGCGCAGTGTTAAGAGCACGGTGGAATCTTCAACCAAAGGAAGCATGGTATGTAGATATCAGAATCGCCATATACATATGTACAACAAGGCTACCAGTGCCATGACGAAAAGATTTGCATCAGTACAACAGTTTATGTATCTCCCAAGCCTTTAAGCAGCTTTGCCTTCAAAGCATCGCAGACGGAAGGCTCCGAAGGTGCATATATCCCCGGGCGGACGCCTTCCTCACGGTCGGCGCAATGCGAAAGACCTCCTTTGGATGGGATATGGCAAATCTAGACAAATTCTGGTGGCTGACAGTGTAAATGTCCTCCAAAAATTTGCAGGTATTGTTGGCTGGTAAAGCGGTCTACAACATTATTACTGCTCCTTAGGTCTAAGATGGAATGGCTGAAAGGTTGGCCAGGCCTCCTTTTCCAGAACTGTTCAAGCAGTAAATGGGCCAAGGAGAACAAGGGAAAGGCTAGCTGGAAATTCTTCCGAGACTGGCGCACAACATGCGGCTCCCAACCTTTTGACTCCTTAACACCCTGATCGGTTCCATCCGTGCGTACTCAGAATCAAAGGAAGTATGTATACACAGGGATTTATTTCTTTTGGGGACAGTTGGCACTGGCGCCGCTGATTTTATTCCTTTTCAGCTAGTCAGCCATCAGGAAAAAATCATTTGAAGCACCGCTCTTGCTCTCATCCTTATATTGGTCATAGAACTTTTCCATTACTGAGGATGGAATCCCGATTACAGTTCAACTTTACTAAAAAATCCCTGGCTCAACTTCCAGCCGAGATCAAAAGGCTCATTGTCGAACAAACTGCACTTGTGACAGAGAAACGTGACGCCTATAGTCATAAATTCTTAAAAATTGCCTTGGTAGATTGAAGTCTTTATCAGCTTTGTAGTCCGGTCAATTGGAAGGTGCGTTTTCCTTCCCGCGTATTTCTTTGCCTTCGACTTGATACCCAAAAGTGTTTCCTTCTAAATACGACAAGCCTGGCGGAGTACGTCAGTTCATAATGATGTCTTCGTAATTTTTTGCTTAGGAGATCGACTTGCTCTACTTGGGGAGACCTGAGCTTGAAGTTCTGATCGATGGAATCCTGCCTCGTCAAGCGAAACATTTGTCAATCAATCGTCATGGGATACCATCTTGACGATGTTCCAAACCAGCAAAATGCCGCGAGCAATGCAGAAACAATCAATTCTTCAAGCGATTCAAAAACAATTGGGGTTGATGAAGAATTCTTTGGAAAAAAACTGAGCTACATGTTGAGAACTTGCACTAACTTGACCAAGTTGGAAATACGCTTTGAACCGACTTCCCTCGACGAGTTTGGGAACTTTATCATCGATCCTTTGCGCCCAATGACAATGATCGCGCCCTCGATAATATCTCAACTTTCCAATTTAACTCACATCAAGATAGACAACAGAGATCTTTACACGAGACGCTTCACCGAAGAATCCCTGGTCAAGTTAATTGAAAAAATGGTGCATCTGGTCCACATTCGCGTGGATTACATCGAGGCCTCTTTTCCAACTTGCGATTTTTGCAAGTGTCCACAATCCATTCAACCCACTGTATCGCCACTTGGTGCTCATTTGGCTTCACTCCCATCGCTCAAAGTCATCTTATTGTCTCTTGCCGATTGCTTTAATTCGGGCTGGAGCAAACTCCATTGGAAAGGGTCGCTTGAAGAATTAACACTGCACCGTTACTCTGAGGTTTCTTTACGCGCCTTGCATGCCTTTTTCAGCCTCCTAGAGAATAGCCTCGTTAAGCTTTCCCTTTACTTTGGCCCGATGATCCGATCTGCACTGCCGTCCCTCTTGCGCCTGCGACGTACCCGAATCAGCGCAAAAATTACTATTTCGTCTGCCAAAGCTGCAGAAGCTATCTATATGCAACTGTTTTTCGGCCGAATTTCTCAAATTATTCCGAGAGTCTCCAAATATCAACCACATCAGTTTGATAAATACTGGCAAAATTTGCTTGAAAGATATCAAAACCCTAATGAATCATGAGGATCCAGTTTGGGGTCAATTGAAATCATTCAAGTTGTGTGAAGACATGGAAATTGTTGATCCTGATGCCGCGCCGGAGGAAATTTTAGATTTAATAGCTCATGGTGCCAAAGCCGGCGTCAAGGTGGAATACGGCTTTGTGGCGAAGGCAGAGGCTGGATGTTGGTTAAATGACGGGGAAGACGAATGGAGGTTTGAAGAGGAGATAAGGGAAAGGGAAAAACGCTTATGGAACACTGCATTATGACAGGCGTAGACTATTAACAGTAGAATCACACTTTTAAATATTAACAACTTTGAACCTATAATTCCCAAGCCAAGAATCAATAAAGCCGGGTCTGATCTTAAATGTAAATATTTACTTTTCTAGACAAACTTGAAGGAATTCTTTTCAACTTTTTGGTTTCAATTGTTTCTTTGTCAATACTTGGCTGGTATGATTTCTAGAATGAACAAGTTACGAAACAAAGTGTCTGGAGTCATCCATCTGAACATGGACAACAAAAAAAGTAGAACTTGAGTTTACCCAAGGATTCCCAAATCTTCAAGGAGCCAGTTATACAGCTCCCAATGATTGGAGTTCTGACTCCCCAACGTGGGCAGACGTCAACAAGACCTCAAGAAGACGTGAGCTGGGTCCAGTCATTTTGCAAGTCGACTCTCCCAAACCTAGTGGAGGTTCGGGAGTTGGGCCCCCAATGATACCGGAGTTTTTTTTTATTGGATCAATGACTGGGATGATTCCTCCCAGCCGTTGATTCCGTATGGTCTCGATTTTGGCTTGTACATACATCAGGATAGTAAAACAAAGATTGTTGTAGAAGAAAATGCACAAGATAAATTAAGCTTAAGGCGAAGAGCAATAATCTGGATGCTTCAATTGTTGAGGAAAAGTGGATTGAAAGTTGATCACATGCTGAGGTCAATGAATCAGCCTTTTACAGACAGATATTGAAAGATAGATTGCAAGATGGAAAAGAGGATGATCATCAAGAGCTCAAAGCTTGGCAGAGGCGGCAGACGAGTTGATTTTCTTGGTTTTCTGAAGCCACCAACGGACACCAGGGTTAGAGAGCTGTGAATTAGAGATCTTGAAGGATTGTTGGTTCAAACCGACTTCGAATAACTCGACCAAGTCCTCCTGAAACCTGATCAAATCCCAACATGTGTCCAAGAACTTGGTCGTCTCTTCTTCAGTTTCATCATAATTTAGCTCGCCGATCTCGCATATCAGTAACTTGTATAGTTTTTTCCTTTGGTCATTCTGGTGGTTATGGCTTTGATCATTGATGGTCTTGTCATTTTTTGGACCATTCTCCACGGCAGGCCGAATCATCCGAACGGGTGGATCGAGCATCTTGATGGATTCGATCAATTTGGATGTTAACTCTTCAGTTTTAGAGCGTGAATGTTTCGACACCGACTTGAGCAAATTTTTCCATGCGACTTTCTGTTGGTCGAAACTCAAGACGGATGATTGATCTAGTGATATGTCCTAAACGCAAAGAGAAGTGAGGGCAGAAATTTTTTTTTATGAGTTTGGATAAGAGGTTACAGTTTTGGAAGTCTGGAAGACAAATTACTCAACATGGATTAATATTTCAAAGTATTTGTTGGCCAAACTCATGACAATATCCTTCGAGCAGAATTCCAGGACGCTTAATAAGGCAAGATGGGCGTAAAAACCAACTTGAGCTCGGTTGATGAAGGCCCAAACCAAGGGCACTACGGTTTGCTCGAGATACTCCTCTTGAATGACTGATCCAGTTAACCTTTCGATGAGATTGAAGTAGAAAACAACTCGTGATATTCGCACCGGATCCCTTACATCATGTGGGTCTAAACCCCAGAGGTAATGATTGTCAGTTCCGAGCCAGAGGATTTATTTCGTTGAGCTTTGTTGGGTATTAGTGCAACTGACCCATCAAAGAAGGTTGGCATTCCTTCAAGATAAGGTTCGCAAGTCCGGGGTGTGGTTTGAGAAGTGTAGCGAGTGTATCAAAAACGGCGGCATGTGTTGAAAGCTTGTCGGATGAAAATCTCAGAGTGATGAAGTGGACCTGGCTTAAGATCCGGAATGCAGGTGACAGGATAGCTTCCGCCATCGAATTTGAGAAGCCCCGAATTGCAAGCTTGTTGACAAGGCCGCCAAGGATCAACAGGCAGGAGAAGAAGATGTTCTTGAGCCATCGATCGGTCTGATTTTCTTTCGTCGAGATGGAGTTTTCCTTGAATTCAGGGAGATGGACTTGATCATAAGACCTCGTTGCTGTGAGCCAGCTCCCATGGATCTCTTCGGTCAAATCGGCTAGACTTGTAAGATCGGCTGAAAAGGATTTCAGATCAGAGGTCTTGGTGGTGTGTTCAATCAACCGAGAGATACTCAATGAGATCGATAAGACGATTTGTGCCAGTACATCATTGGAAATGTTTTTGAGAACTTCGTCGGTAGTTGATTGGGGGCGAAGGTTGACGGAATGAGGGGTCAGGTCGAGACTTGTGGACAAATGATTGAACAGATGACCATTCTCGAATACTTTGAATAGCGATTTGGCGAGGTGGTAATTGATATCCTAAGCAACATTCACCTTCAAAGGTCAGAGTTCCGGATTAAGCTTGGAGAGTGAAATCGAGCCTCAAAAATGGTAAATAAGCAGAACGACGCACGTTCGTTTCCGACTCTGCCAAATTGATTGGAGTGATTGATGGAATGATTTGTACCGCCAACCAGGTAATTACTGAATCTGGATCAAAAGAAGTGACGGGTTGCACGTTTGATGTAGCTGACTGGGTCAGATGAATTGAACGCTTGATGAACTTGATACAGTCTCGTTCGATGAGGCTTTGCAGACGCAGGGATGCCGACGTAAGATCGAATGATTTGATTGATATAAGCAAGGCCGCCATCAAGCAGAGTTGCCGGAGGTCGAAGTAGGAGAACTGTCCCGCTCTGGAATTTTCATCTGCGCCTCCGACTACGACGGCTCTCCAGCGTTCAATAAATTTGGTGGTTGATGGCTTCAATTGAAGACGATTTTGATGGGCATCATCAGGGCCAGTAAGGACCGGAAAAGTCGAAAGGTTCGAATGTTGTGGTAAACTTGATCGGTGGAACTTGGTTGAACAAGCAAATTTGAGTTTCAGAAAAATGGACAGGAAGGGTTCGATGACCTTCTTCTTCATGGAATCGTCACCGCTCTTATCTCTATCAACCACGACATCTCTGTGGGCCGTCCCACGTACGCCGATCGACCATAACCGAGGAGAATGAAGGATGGCCATGATGAGTTGATCGACCAAAGACGGTCTGATATGTATGATCAGTTGGCACAGGTTCTCGAGCATCCTTTCATCCTGGTCGTCATCCTCCTTGCATCCATCCTGGCTTGGAGATAGCAGCCAACTCATGACATCGATATAGATCACCCCATCATCCACGTTTTCCATGTTTTTGCGTGCTCTGAATCGATCCAAATCAGAAAAGAAGTCAGTCGAAGGTATAACTCCATGGATCCGGAATGGTTATAAGGAGAGACGAAAAATGTCCGGAGACTTCGCACATTACCTTCGGAGTTTTTTATGGTTCGAAGTTGAAACTCACCAAGCCCATGATACCCGCCCGCCCCTGGTCCCTCCTCCTTTCTCTGATACGCCCGCGCCTGACGCCTCTGCTACTTTTGCAGCTTTCAAGCACCAGGCTACACGTATCCATACTCAAGAAGAACTATGGAAACACACACATTAACTCAACCCACTTCCTGGTCCTGGACAACATAGCCGGATCAAAAATAGCCAAGAGTTGACGACCCATCCGCTTAACCCTATATCTGCTCAACCCCGGCCCACACCCAGATCGAGCTCAACAAGGGCTCTCCACTCGAGAGCCTGCCTCCGGATAAATATACAGAGGCCCGAGGCTGGACATTGTTAAGTTTGCGCACTGAGGTCGCCTGATACATACAACTGCGACAAAGCGGTCGGGGTATAAAATATAACATCCTGGAAGTATACTCTGATACAGCCTTCTTATGTACCGGTGTTAGGCAAAAAAAGAAAAAGCTACGACAGCTGCCTCGGTCTCAGCGAAGAGGCCTGTTAATTCCCATGCAGGACTCTCAATCAAACTGGCGGTGACCTGCGGTGCCTTCAGTCTTGTCCCAGCATCAGATCATTTTATCACAAGTAATTACATAAAAATATCCAGAGGCAGGCCTTGTTTCATTGTTTGTATCTCTCCTTCAAGCTTCCTGGTGTCGGTGATGCTTAAAATGGGCTCAGCCTCATGGATTCATGGGTTAATTTCCCGGATCAAGTCTTCCACATCCGAGGGGCCGGCCACTGGTCTTTCCATCGCCCTAATTCACATTCATCATATGGGGGCGTACTTGATCAATTCATTAGAATATTGCAAAAATCGAAAAGATTTGTCCATCACTTTTACAACGAGGGAAATAAACAAAACCAGTTGGGTAGAAATGAATAGCTCAGGAAGCATGAGTTTGCAGAGAGTTTGCCTTCTTCTTGGCTTCTTGGCCCTCATGTTCACTGCATCTGCTGAATTCGCGAGAAGCACTGGTCGCTCGAACCCCTACGGGCCTCATCCAATCCAATATGAGATTGATGCCACCAAGGTCACCCCACCTCCATCTCAACTAGACGAGCAAGCAAGAAATCCACCACCCATGATCCACTCTACCGAATTCTTGTCTGACTCTCACCAAAACCATGATAGCTCATTCATTCATCGGTCTAGCACATTGGCCAACAGTCTTCAAATGGGAGCAAAAACAGCATATCCAATCAACAACCTTAAACCCATTGATGCTTTGCAGAATTTCATGTCCACAAGTTCAAATGGGCAACATGATTTTGATTCTCCTGATCAGTTTACAAGGCCCTTGGGAAATCCCAATTATCTCAGAGAGATTGAGGACCTCCTTGGCCTCCAGGAGGATGGTTCAAAATTCCCATCAAGTGAACCTAGTTACCAAATTCCAAATCCAAACACCTTTCAAAGCTCTGTCAACTTCTTATACCCTCCTTCCCCAAAAAGTATAGGATATCCAGAGAAATTTCCCAGCTATCCGAAACTAGATTACTCAGGCCAAAATGCATTGAGTAGCAATGTTGAAATGAGGGATGATACAAACCTACCTAGAAACAGCTACCCTACAAATGAACATTCAGAAGTTTTCTCAGTCCCCATTTCAAATGAAAGTTTGATACCAAATCATTCTTACCATCTGG